TCCGTAACTACTTACAAAATCAATAACACCAAGAAAAATGAAAAAAAAACGTCTAGCCTGTGATAAATTTTTGATTCTATATCGGATAAACGGTACTACAATTTTAAGGAATAATGTTAATTTGTTTTGTTAAAGTAAGCCTGCTCAAGAACAAAACGCGTTGCCAAAAATTAGCTCGAAATAATTGTTCATGATCACTTTAAGTTTTCAAGTTATAAGCCATTTTTGATGCATATTTTTGTATGATAGTTTCAAAGCAACCCGTGAAAAAAATAAGTAAAAGTAAATCACCACAGCTGAGTTGATAAGGCTTTACCGATTAATTGTATACCCGAGTGCACCTGTGCACAGGGTATTATATGTAGCTTTGTTCGCATAACCTTTGTTTTTGTAAAAGCCAAAAGATGTCGATATATGTATATATTATATATTAGACTGGTATATGTTTGTATGTATGTATATTAGACTGGTTCAAAAAATCTATGAAAAAGCTACGACTTATTTTCGGAACAGCGAAAAAAGATGTCTGTCCAATTTGCAGCCCTTAACATTAAGATTTAGAGAGTGCGCATCGCTAATTTCAATTTTCCATATGAATAACTTTTCATACATATAACGATAAATTTCAGAAATACGAAAACTCTGATATTACAATAACTAAGAAGGCTTATTTACTCCAAGTTAATTCTTACTATAACATCTGAACAAGAAATAAGAATATCAAAGATTATTGGGAAAAGGGCGTGGCACCGCCCACTTATGACTATATAAGTGCATCTTAGTAACAGCTTTATCGATTTCTACCAAATTTGGTTCAATTATAACATTAAGTCTAAAAGCATAGATACACGGCAGCATTGATCCGAATCAACTCGTTAATTCTGAATTATCTCGGGCATTAACTTGAAGAGTTTATTCTCAAACTTAATGTGGCTCGATGAAAACACCGGCCAAAATTTACAGAACTTAGAATGCAGAGGACATGCAAAATTAGCCTGGGCATCTATCTGCCTTTGTCGTCGTAACGTATGTAGTCACTATAAAGTGAACAGCTGATTGAAAGTTGATTTGAGTTGTCCTTAAGTCTATCTTTGTCACAGAAATGTGACTTTTTTGTATTTTTTTTTTTTATATGTATATATACATAAATTAAGTTTTGCTAAATTTTTAAATTTTAAAATTCACTTCTTACGCACATAAGTGAATTGTTGCAACATCCTAACTGTTCGCCAACGAAAATAGACGCGGTTAGAATCTTTTTTTTTTCAAGTTAGTCCATACGGAATATTCGCAGCGTGAAAAAAATATTGAAAAAACAGGTAATTCTATTAACTGTGTGATTCGTTAAACAGAATTAAATTTAACTGTTTTCTAGCAATATTTTGGAACCAAATACTTCAAAAATTTTAAGAAATTAAAGATTTTGTGGGACTAAGCTTGATTTTTAGTTTGAAGAAATTATTTAAATCTCAAGAGATATTATGATAACAAAATATTTCTAAAATGGTTATGAAAATTTGTGAGCAGATTTTATATAACAACAAATTAAATTAAAAAATCCAATCATGTGAAATGCAATATATACTGATCCGATCTAAAGGTTTATTCGCGCATTGATAGTTTTTGATAAGTATCAAAAACTATTAGATTTTCCTGTTCGCGTACACAAAAATCCAGCAAAGTAGGGGAAATTGAGAGACCAAATTTACATTTCATTCTGACGAGCAAGACAAGACAGCTGATCAAAGTTATCTGTTTCCAATTTATGAAAATATGGAAATTTATTTTATCGGAAGAAGATATTGTATCGGAAGAAAGCAAATACTCATATATTCAAATTGCTTTAGGAAAACTTTTTATTTATATTCTTTTCATGTTTTCTGTTTTATGCTTTTCTATGTAAACAAAAATATTGATCAGCTGTACTAAAAACTTGCAAGTTTTTGCTGGTTTTGCGTTCGCGTACTTTTGCTGGAATTTCTCTCTTTGAGAGAGATCAGATAAAAATTCATTAGAATTTTGTTGCAGAGAGTTTTCTGCTAGTAGAATACGCGAATACACCTTAAATTAAATAAAAATAATTATTTCAACAAAGGGTAAATAAAGGTTGAATTACACTATTGTATTTAAAGTTTAAAAGTACTTTTACTCAGGACAGCGCCTAATTTTTATACATAACATACTACACTTGGATGCTGTAGCACATTCGATCCTTCGTAAGCACAAACATATTGTATATTTATGTATATCTCATATGTATTTATAATAGCATAGAATTGAAAATTTTATTTTGAACAAGCAATTCTTAAGCAAAAAAAAAACAACCGACTCCAATTCTTATATAAAAATTGAGGATTATCGTGAATTTCTTCATGATCCGATAATCGGATTTAAACCAAATTAATATGGGACCACCTGTGAGGTAACAACTTTCAATAACAATTATAGAAATTGGTTAACGTGGTCCAAAGTTATGCGGTAACATATATAAGAAAATATAAATAAAATTCCGACGAATTGATAACCTCCTTTTTGTGAAGTCGGTTAAAAAGCGACAAATCACCTGCATATCGTTTTGACCTTTCTATTGTTAATTTAGATTTAATTTAGATAAACCTTAGCCTGAGTGTTTTCTATTTGTTTGTGTAATGAAACTGAAGTGAATATACCTTATCAGATTTAAATTCTAATTGTAAAGGGTAAGGATAGCGAACTAGTGTATTAAAACGGAAAAACTGGGCAGCACGGATATTTACCGNAAAAAAAAAAAAAAAAAAAAAAAAAAAAAAAAAAAAAAAAAAAAACTTATATCAGCACGAAGAGGGCGACAAACCTTTTCAAGCGTTTTATTGCGGTTAAGTTTAAAATAACTGTTTTCTTGTTATCATATCACCTGCGTATCCCTAATCGCTACTTAACGTTTAAACAATATGAATAAATTTGCATATCAAAATAAACTAGAAATTTGGATTTCATACGAATAAATGTGGTTGTAACAGTAGTACAAACCCTTCTTCAAAAAGTTGTGGAGAATCTGCTGAAGTGGCAGTGTTTGACCAGTAATAAAATTTAGTAATTTCGATAAGCCGATTGTCATGGAAACGAAACGAAGTCAAGCCCATTTTTATGAAAACGATTTTTTGAGGACAATTAAAAGTAGGCAACATATGACAATAACGTGCAAAAAAAAAAGTTCTCAGTCGGAGCCCGCAAAAGGAAGCTGTTGTTGAAAAAAAAAAAACAGTACATCATGAACTGCTCAAAGCTGACTAAACTATTTATTTTGTGTACAATCTATACGGCCAACTAATGCGAATGAAGCTGGCGAATGTAAACAAATGTCCGGAAGAATTGATCAACTAGAAAGGCATTGTCTTTAGTTATTGAGCAATACTTGAGAGAGATTGGCTGGAAACTTTTGATGCCCATTAGCTTATACGCTATGCTACCATCTTAAGTGTATTTCAAAACAATTTTACTAAATTATTGTTTGATTAAAATTTTGCTCTTAAATTTATGATGCAAGCGAAATATATGTATATATGTTATTTCCTAGTTTTTAACTACTTCGTTCCATAAGATATGCGCATGTCTACGGAATGAGGATATGTGATTTTTATGATTACATGCCCACAAATGCATGTGCATATATCAATGTTTTGTTATGTTTTATTTTATTTAAATTATCAAATTAGTTAGTAATTAAATGTGTAAAGGAAGAGAGCATAGTATAACAGACGTTCACAAACCACAACCCAGTTACATACTTATCTCTGTATGATATAAGAAGTACATACCGCGTATTAGATTAGCGTAGCCGCAAACATACATACTTATTTAGTATCGACTAAAAACCAACACCCAATTGTTTTTTTTTTATTAGTATACATAAACTTCCACAATATTAATACAAGTTTTACGTACTTCGTATATCTTTCTCAATAATAGGTCTACATATAATCTCGTTTGTGCAACAAGAGCAAGTTTAAGTGGAGCAATAAAATGTGTATACATCCCAAGATTTTTTGTACAATAATTAACTAAATTTGCGACTAAATGTAAAGATTGTTCTCAAAAGTAATTAAATACATATACATATATGTGGCGTTTTAATATAAATTTGTACAGTTAAGATTTTAATTTTTATGTTGCTTTCAGTTTGTGCAATTCGCACTTTTGCTTTAGCTCATACTTATGTATAATACACATACATATGTAGTATATGTAAGTAAGTATGTATGTACAAACGAAACTACTGAATACAATATGCATTACAGTACATTCATAGTAGCGAGTTAGCATTATTTGCTGCTCATTTATAAACTATTGATGCAATGCAAATATAAGTATGCATTTTTAACAATTTTTGCATATTAAATATTCATTATTTATTTCTATTCAAAATTGACTCATTCCCACATTACTCAGGCAAAAGCACACATTACATTGTGCTTCTCGAATTTGAGCTTATTTATTGTTTTGGTTGCTTTCATTGTCACTCAAGTGGTTAATTTGTGTATTATAATTTATATTCATATGTAATTTAATTGTCATATGCATATACTTTGAGCGAAAAGGAATTTGCGCACCATGTGCCGAAAAGAAAAAAAATATGGCAATTAGCCGCAAGCAGCTTTCAGCATTTTTAGTAAATTTTGTTCTGTTTTGCTTGCCAAAATTTTTGGTACATGCGGGGAACTAGAAGAATAATAATAATGACACACTAAACGCTAACGCTTGTCGTTGTATATTACTAGCATTTGTAGATTAAGTGTAATTTATTAGTAGCAGTAGTAGTAGTAGTAGTAGTAGTAGTAGTAGCAGTAATAGTAGTGGTAAGTGGTAATGGTGGTAGTATTACGATAATTTTGTTGGTATTAGCTATTACTCATAGGCATAGTACGTTTTTACATACATACTACAGCAACAATAACAAAAGCGGTTGGTTGCTTCGTTTGAGAAGAACAAGTATTGCAAAATATAATAATTTCATGCTTTACCTCCAGTTTTACGCAGCGTTGTTGCTTTCTCGCGCAATCCGGCCGGCAAGCTGAACGGCGCCGAGCCGAAAGGATCCTCGGGTATATGTGGTACAGCGGTGTTTACGCCAACGCCAACGCCACCCCCACCAGCACCAACTGTAACCGCGCTAGCGACAGCGCCTGTTTGACCAAATGTGGGCGGTTGTGCTTGCTGCTGTTGCGGCAGTGGCGGCGGTGCCGGCATAGCAACGCCATAACCTTCAGTCGGTGTTAAAGTGGAAGTTGTAGATGCGGACTTTGCAGTAATGCCTTAAAAAAAAAAAAAAAAAACAAAAGAAATACAATTAAATAAATGAAAATGCTATTTTTCGCGTGCTTCCCCACGTCATCATCATATCATATCATACTCACTGCCTTGACTGCCACGTTGTCGTATTTTATCAAATTCGGCTTCGAATATATGATCTTCGGTCATTTGTCCGAATGGTTGCTCTTCAAATGGATTCCATGCCTCAATACGTTGCTCCATTGAACTGCCAGTGCCACTGGCTCTGGCTTGATTTGTTGTGGTACCTGCGCCATCTACGGCGACATTGGCGCTTGGCACGGCTTGACTGCTACAGCTGGTGTCCATGTTGCAACGCAACACTTGAGCGCTTGTCAGTTCAGCACTCGATATGGATGCCGACATGACGGCGGCACCTTGTCCTTGCATATGCAGCGATTGTGTTGCTGGTAGAAAGAGTCCCGGATTTGAGCCGCCATAATTCGTGCCAGAATTGGCCATTGCATTGACCAGCAGACTGTCGTCACCACCAGCGCCACCGCCGCCGCCACTGGCATCACTGGAATGGGGCGCACGACTTTTAACCGAATGATCATAGGGCGCCAAAAATTGTGAAGTCTCATTGGCGAAGGTTCTAAGTTTGGTTGAGGCGTGTGTATCCGAAAAATGATGGGTGCGAGCATTTTGTAGGGGTGAAGAGGGAGCACAGCAATAGATGAAGAATGATGTGTGTATGGAAATAAGAAAAATTAAATGACGTTAAAATTTAAACATAAAATATGCAAATAGGATAGTGGCGAAAGGAGTGGAACAGTTAGGTGCGCATAACTTTTGGGAACACAGAGTGCACGTAACAGTAACGGAATTAAACAATCTAACGTTCGAATGCGTGCCGTAAAACTCTTGCTCAGCTGTTGTACGTAAAATATATCGTGTAAAAAAAAAACTGGGAATGAATTAACATATTAAAAAAAAATGAAGAATTTTAAGTGATTTTGACATGTTTTCTAAAAATTAATTAAGTGTTTCTAAATTCCTTCTTTTGAAGGGTTGCACTCAAAGTTTTGAACGTAATATTTTCTAACAAAGATATATTCTTGGAAAACAAGTTTGGGAATCGAATTTGTATAGCTTTTCTGTGCTTTTGAATTGTTACAAATTAATAAACAATCAAATTCGAATATTCTCGAACTCAAAACTCTATTTTCGAAATCCAAATTCTGGATATAAAATCATTTTGCAATACTACATGAAATCTGATAAATTTATAATTTATGTTTAATAAGTTTCGAACGCCAGACAATGTTTTAGAGATCACTTGTTCAGAGTTTTTGAATTTCAAAACATTAATGAGCTAACATTTATTTAAGGATTTTGCATTATTTTTTAATAATTTTTAGAACTAAAACAGCATTCTTTCAATATAACCTTCCATAAAAATTATATTCAGTGGAAAAATTAAAGAGCCACTTTTTTCTGAAAATAAAGGTATTTAAAAAAGCAATAACGGGGCGCGTATTGTAGGGCTGGAGCTATCCTTATCTTTTCGCATATTTGTGTGTACAGATACAATCTAGATATCCGGTTAATATCCGTTAATTTTGCTATCCGGATGTTTTATATAAGACATTCAAATATCCAGATTATCCGGATATACAAAAAATCTGGTTATCACCATGATAAAAACATAGCAAGGTATAACCGTTCTCTCAATTTGTCGGCCATGATTTTTTTTTGAAGTTTGCCAACATTTTAAAATCATATAAAAGTGAAAATAAAAAATTGAAATTGTTCGAAATTGTTGTTGCTTGAGATTGAAAATGAAAATGTGTGTGTGAGTTTGTGAGTAAATTTAAAAATTAAATTGTTTGGAAACGTCAAGAATTTTAAAAGTGACTCTCAGCGGTTCTACCTTACTATATTTTTATCATGGTTATAACTCCCAGCCCTAGCGTATTGTTGTTTTCGTACCACTAAAAAGTATTGTAATTTTTTATTCAAAATTTCGATTTTTGAGAAAACAGGAATTTCTATTTCTTTTGGGTTTAACAAATACTACACTTTTTAAATTAACTAAAATTTCAAAATTTCAATTTAAACTTAAATGGATATCCCCATTCATGCCCCAAAGTTTAGAAGAACTCATCTCCTGGCTACATTGAGCCTAGTCTCTTCTCTCGTCCTCTTGAAACGACTGCACTCTCAATCGTGCAATGATATCGCTTTAGCCGAGTCGCAAAGTAGGTTAGTTAATTCGCGGCCTGTAACCATTTGGTTTTCCAAAGTCCTGTGGTGGTTCGCCAGTGTCGTTCTTTCATTCCTATTATCTCTTTCTTTAGCTCATCCCTGACCGTTTTTGTACCGAATGCAAGGAATGATCCAGGCCCTGATGAGGTGAGGGTATTGTTCCTCTCTATTTCCGTGTGGCCTGCTACGCAACATAATTGAGTGTCAAGAGTCCTCGAAAGCCTTATGTATCTCAAAAACTTAAGGAGTAGAGACGATTTAATCTTAAAGGATAAAATAACCTTAGGGAAAGGACTAAGTGGACCTTGCACCCTAGCTTTTCGATAATCCTAGACGATACGACCTTTTTACCCAAGTCATCTTCTGCGAAGTTCAAGAGAGTTGGCTTGATTGTGAGATGGTGTAATTATGTTGGATTTTTCCTCTAATGCATACAAAGGCTAGACGTAAACTTTCGGTGTGAGATTGTCTCACGATGACCAAATTGGTTCTTGAAATTCATAGCTTACTATTGATGGTACTATCGAGTTGAAAAACCCACTCAGCATCTTTGTGCTAAATCCCCCCGAGACGTTCCTGTTGGAGGCTTGTATATCATTAATGCCATTGTAGCTCCAGATGGTGTCGCATCAGCATGATGATTCCACAGAAGGTTGAAGTCAAGAAATATACCAACATTTTACGAAAAAGGGTCTTTCGTTAACTTTATACCTCTTTGCTACTGATGATATCTTTCCCAGGTGCCTTGTAGCGATCGCATAAATCCAACGCCCATCCGATAGACCACTGGGATAGTACTTACTGATGACTTTGTCTCTTGTTTAATGGGAGTGGCATCAACAAAATAGATAGAAATCAAGCCCAGTACGCTCTTCTATTCCCGTAGGTACGATTAGGTGTCCTGACTACTTGTTTCTATATGTCCGCCGGCTAAGGCTTTCTGAAGCCTAGCAGCTGCAGGTGTTGATGAGAAACTCTCACTTGTGAAGACTCCCCACAACACAAACCATCTTTTCACCTGTACACTGAAACCCACTCAATATCCCGCTTTGTTTGGTCCGACCTAGTTATAAACAGCACGTTTCCTGGGCCTACCGTTAGTTGAGTTTGATGGCCAGGATTGCTAGATGAGCCGATTCGAGCAGGGCTTAGTAGTGTGCCGCTAAAACAACAAATAAAGATCGAGCTAGTCTCACACAGGGTTATGAAATGACTCCCGAGCTTGCTTGAATTCGAATTAAAATATTATATAGGAAAAATATTTTTATATATATATTTTTTTTTTATATTATTTATAGTCCCTTTCATAAATTAGATCCCTATAATTGGCATTATTCCATTCATTAAGTACTAATTTAAAGTTTTTCAAAGTTCATATCTAGATTCCAAGTAAATGTGTGGTTGAAACTTTTTAAAGTTATGATATTTAAAAAAAAAATAAAATGTAATTTTAGATAACAGGTTTAATTAAGTACTCGTATGTATGCATGTTAAAGAAATTTCAAGACAAATGGCAAATTTCGAAAACTAAATATAGAAAACTTTCTAACTAAGCTCTTTTAAAAATGCAAAATTTTAATTAAGAAGAAGTAACTGAGCAACAATTAAATTATGACTCCGCAAAATTCTCAGACAATTTAGAAATTCGTTGACTATTCACTCATGTGCTCTTTTTCATCGAAAATAGCTGACCTTAATTAGCGCACATAGCCAAAGTGAGGGCATCGCACATTTCAAAAAAAAAAAAAATAAAAAAAAATCCAAAAAAACATTGCATTAAGTCAGTAAAGTCACATAGTATGCACATACATTGGCAAGACATGTATGTATGTATGTATGTATGTAAATCGCAAAAAACACAAAACGAGAAAGAGCAGAGGAAAAGAAAACGTACAGAAGAAACACACACAAATCGATACAAGCATAGAAACATTCAATTCAATAAAATAGAACGAAAAAATCTTACTTATTAAAAGCTGACGTATCGCTAACATTGCGTCGATGTCCAGAGCTACCACCACTCACGCTCACACTCGATCCCATGCCCGACGAAACGGTCAGCATACTACTCTTTGTGGGCGGCGTACTGCCGATTGCTTGATGTGCTGATAAACTACTCGCTGCTATATTATCCAAACCGTCTCCTATGCCAACACCAACACCAACACCAACAGCACTGCTGCAGGCCACCGTATCCAATGCAGTAGTATTCTTCAACGACACCGACGATGGTGCATTCTCACTAAATGGATCCGGATAAACGGACGACTCGAAGAGGCTATTCAATACCTCGGGTGGCGGCTGTTGTGTCACAATTGTAGCGGCGGCAGCAGCAGCAGCGCCAGAAGAAACAAGGTTGCTGCTAACTTGGCTCACAGTTTGCGATTGTGTTAGTGCTGTTGGTGCTGGTATTGATGGTGTTGCTGCAGCAGTGGGTGTTGCAGCTACCACGGCGGCAGGTGCGGGTGCAGGTGCGGTCGTAATGTTGGCAGCGCCGGAAGCAGACACTGCTGTTGCTGTTTGTGGTGTTGGAGGTGGCGGCACAACTGGTGGCGCCAATTGTGGAAAATTCGCTTGAAATTGTTCAACTACTGGCTGTTGTGGTTGCGGCGATGTTATATTATTACGTGGCGATGGACTTGGAGGCAAGCCAAGACCGAGCGGATTTGGACCATGCCCAGCGGAGGAGCCTTTAGGACGTTGACGTGGCGCCACACTTGTGCCCGACTCCACAATGGGTACACTTTGCGGTTTAGATGTTTTTGAGGCGGCTGCGGCGGCGGAAATGCGTTTCGCTTCGGACTCGTACGGTGGTACGACGAGTTGGTCGTAGTTTGGTGGTGGAGATTTCTGGAATTTTAGAAAGTTGTAAGTTTATAGTTTGAAAACATACATATGTGCATACGATGTTATTAGGTGCGTTCGTTTAAAATCTCCAACAGAAACCAACCAACTGCCAAATTCCGGCGAAATGTCATCTGTTCGCTCACAAGAGAGAAATATCCAAAATAGTACGCGAACAGAAAATTTGCAGAAACTTGCAAGTTAGACGAACAGCTGATATAATTTTTGTTTACATACAAAAGTGTAAAATTTAAAACGTACGAAAAGTCATCGCAAAGTGTTATACTGACACAGTTTATTGATTAAACAAATAACTACTTATTTCTTACAAGTTTAATTAGTCGCATTTTGTAATTTTTATCTTCCAAACCATCAAATTAAATTTTGTGATTTGCGTAAATGCCAACCAGCTGTTTTTGATCAGCTGTTTCCCTGTTGGCAAATTGCTGTTGGCAAAAATTTTTCCAACAGAAACTAACAGCTTCCCCTCAAAATGAAATGTCACTTTGCTCTCTCAATTTCCCCTACTTTGCAAGTTTTTTGCGTACGCGAACGCAAAAACCTGTAAGTTTTGGTTAAACATGAACAATTAACAGCTACGCGAACGAACCTATAATTGTTTAAAAAAATAAATGTGCATAAATAGTCCACCCAACTCTGAAAACAGTCTGGCGGAAAAAGGTAGCTTCAGGGAATGAGGTAGGTGTTTCCAAAAGGATAATAAAGAAATTCTCAATTTTTAGAGATTCAAGCGTCTGCCGTATTCAGTGAAAAACGAAATTGACTGCCTCAGTCTTAATTTGAATCTGAAACCGCTGCAGCTTTCGAAAATCCACTCTCAATATTAATATATGCGGCTAGAGAGGGAAATAAGGAAGAGTGAGAGAGATGTGGAAAAGTCGGAACAGTCCTGCAACTTTACCGTTGGTGTGAGTTAGCTTCGGTCAAGCGTAAGGCCCTTGTCCAATTGAACGTTCCCGCGACAGTCGGGTCTACGTAACCGGAACGAGCCAGAGTTATATCTGGCCAAGGACTATCACTAGAGCAACACCCATGAGATCATACGCTGAATTTTTTTATTTAGATATTGGAGTCTGTCAATGGAATTTAGCTAAAAACTAAAAGGTTATCCCTCAGATCTAGTTTGCTTTTTCACTGCAAGGAACTTAGGTAAGCTTCGCCCATACGAAATTTCCGGCAATCATTTTTACCACCTGGACAAAAGAGATCTGCAACAAAGGCTTCAAATCGCTCATCGGCAGCATCATGACCAAATACACAAAAACGCTTTAGAAATATATTTACAAGCCAATTGGCTACGATGTCACAACACAGACCTCGAGACAGCTAAGGAATACGTTCATGTCGCTAACATATCATCTACCTATCGAGATCCAAATACTTCCCGTAAGAAAATGTAATATAATGATGAGCAGTCAGCTCCTCGTTGGAACTACATACATTCTACATATGGGCAATTAATGGCATTAAACAGAGTGACTATCACCACCTTTACAAACTAGCCTGTACAGAGAAAGAGCTGCAGGAGCCTCACGGCGCCCGCATTATTCTGCCCCAACTACAGTCTGGTTGTTGTAGTATGCTAAATTCCTTCCTATTTAGGCTCGACCCCAACATATTCAATGTCCCACGTTTGAAGGTTTTAATACTAAGACAAGGCCATTTCAAAGCTTCTGTGGCAAATATAGAGAGTTCGTCCGACACTGCAAAGTTAAGGAAGCTGTCGACCCCGAACTGCAAACAGTCCTCAGAGGTGTTTCTTTTTGTCCAATTCCCAATAGGAATCCCAGAGTCGCAGCCCACACTGACGGAAAAATTTCGTTGCAATAGGGCTTAGATGAGGAGGAGAGTTATCCCAACTTCTTTGGAAGTTCATGGTTAATATACTATATGTAAAACATTTAAATAGTTATTGAAATTACATTTAGGCTAAGTTTTCTTATAAAATTAATAGCTATTCAAAATAGCTCTATTTCGAGAACATTCTTAAATGGGGCTACCACCTGTTTAAAAAATTTAATTCAAGTTTATTAATAAGGTAAATGAAGTAATATAATGGGAATGACAAAATAAAGACGTTTAAGAAATATGTATTCCGAAAATATTTTGAAGGGGGTTGCCAGATATTATAAAGTCAAAGTCAAATTTTATTATTAAGTAAAAAAATGTTTTGCAATATGGGTGTCACACCAAATAGCTTTAGCTTAAAACCAGCAAGAAAGATCTATTTCGAAAATATATTTAATGAAGGTTGCCACCTTTACAAAATTCAATTTAAATTTACGTTTTATTAAATAGGTATGTATTAAGAAAGTCTTGTTGCCACCTGGTTAAAAATTCCATTTAATCACTAAGTTAAAGGAAATATTGCAAATCGGATGTCGAATTAAGGAAATCTAAGAATTAAAGAAAGTATTTTCTTGCCACCTCTTTAAGAGAAATTTTCTATTTAAAAGAAACAACTTTAACAAAGCCTTACTTTATATTTTTTAAGAGGGCCGACACCCGTTTGAAGTCAAATTCAATTTAGTTAAAAAGTGAAACGAAATCGAAATCGATTAAAGTTTAAGAAAATAACTTTTGGAAGGCAGTTTTGCCACCTTTTAAAAAGTAAATCAAAGTGTTGCCAACTGCAATGCATCCAAAAAAATTGTTTAACCCGTAATGGTCAGATCTCCAAAAAATTACGTAATGCTCACAAGCAAACATACCCATGCCACGAACGTTCTATTTCATGTATCGATTCGAATCCCGTACAACTTAAGTATATGAATCGGTTAATTACTAAAAGGAATAATTCAACATTTTCGATATGACAATATTGATGCAATTGGGGCCGTCCAAAAGAGCTCTGTTGAGCTGGCATCAAATTTTTCATATCGGAAAAATGTTGACTTATTCCCTTTGGTAATTATCCTATTCATATTAAAGTACTAGCTTGTCCTCACCCTCAAATTCAACATTTCAAAAATTTTCTCTTTAATATTTTTAAACTTTCTTCAATCTCCAATATGACACCAATATAGCAGAATATCAGTTAAACATTAACTAAATTTGGTGAAGTCTTTTAAACAGGTGGCAACCCCATTTGAAATAGTTTTTAGAGTAAAGAATTCTTAAAGCTCTTTCGTTAGCAACCATATTGCAAAATGTCTTTGATCTAATCCAGTTAATGAAATTTACTTTTTCAAACAGGTGGCAACCCTCTTCAAAAATATTTTTGCAATGAACTCTCTTAACCCCTTTGCCATTTGACACCCGTATAGCGATATTTTATCAATCCTATTACTTTAACTTTTAAACAGTTGGCAACTCTCTTTAAACCTACTAATGAACCTTTTCCTCACTGAGACAAAACATACATACATAAGTATGCACCTTTCTACAATGGGACTACGGCCTGAAATTAATGAATTAAACTATAGTAATAACAGGTGAATTCCCCAAATCGATTTTAAATAACCACGAAGTTAGTTTGACGTTCACTGTACCCCGCGTAAGCATCAAAGGTTAATTCAAAAATCTCCATCTATGTGTGTATGTACATATATATACTTACGTGCAAATTTTGTACTGGATTCTCCTTGCCAGCCAATCGGAATGCCACCTCGCACACCTGCCAGATATTCGGTCGTTTATCCATATCGGGCTCAAGCATATATTTAATCAATTGATGCATGCCTTTTGAGTATTTGGAATTATCTGGTATGGAAAATTGACCATTTTGTATGGCCAACGTACTTTCGCCGAAGGGCAAATTGAAGAAGCACAATTTATAGAGCATACAACCCAGTGCCCAAATATCCGCCTTAGTCGTAATACTTTTACCCGAATATAGATCGATCATTTCGGGCGCACGATACGATAGTGTTGTGTATTTTTGTATTTCCTCTTCGACGAGAGTGACGCCATGTTGCTGCGGATTTAGTATTTTTGCGGTGGCTGAGCCAAAATCGCAAAGTACAAAATTACCAGCATCATTTTGCAGTATATTCTCTACTTTCAAATCTCTATGGATGATGGGCGTCTGACAGTAGTGTAAACGTGACACTGCCTCTGAAATATCACAGAATATGGTGAGAACTTCCGGCTCATTGAAGCCAACTTGCAAACTGTTAAGGACAAATGTATTTAAAAACAAAAAAAAAAAACATTATTATTATATGATTATTACATGATATGGTGTATGTACGTGTGTAGCAACAAATTTGATTATATATTTATTAGTTAGTACTTACCGTGCATTCATCATGGCCAGCATGTGCTGCTTGCAGTAGGGCATGAGCAATAGTACTTCGCAGACACCGTTGCCAGCGTGCGTAATGCTTGAGTCCACATAGCCTATAATATTCTTATGACCACTCAGATTGCTCTAAAGGAAGAAGAAGACGACGGTTGAAAGAGAAACACAAACACACACACAAATTAGCTGAGTGTTGAGAGAACTAAATGATGTGGTGTTGAGGAAAAAAAAAGTTTCACATAGCGTAAATTTCACATATTTTAATATTTATATGCAGCAAAAACAAAAGCAAAAACTACTAACTAATGAAATATTTAATAATTTAAGCGGCACGAAAGCACGAAATGCCAGCCATGACAATGGCCTGGCCTGCACTGGCAACGGCACCGGCACCGGCACCGTTCCGGCACAGTCAATGGCTAGTACCTAGACAACAAAAATTTTTGCAGCTGACGTGTATTCCAGCCAGCACCCATCGCACTTACAGCAATCTGAATTTCCCTCTTGGCCACGTTCAAGTCGTGCTCGCTATTCACATACATACGCTTGAGCGCATATTTTGTATTGCCAGTGTTGGCTTTAGCGAGGAAGACCATGGCAAAACCACCTGCAATGAAAGAGGGTAAGAAGAGTGGTTGAATATAAAAAGTTCAGACATAAATGCAAAAACAAAAAAAAACAAAAATAGATGAATAAAACAAAATTGGGAATATGTGTGGTGCAGCGAACAGTTAAGAATTCATATGCAATTACATATCTACATATCTAAAAACCGTTCCTAGTTGAGTATCATACTTTGTTTAGGAAATTGATTAACGATCCATAAGTTAGGCAAACCTAATTAGTACTTAGCACATTCTACTTAATTAAATAGTTAAGAAAGTACCCAAAAGCAATTTAGCGCCCAAGTAGTTCGCAATTATCTCGTTTTTTATCTCATTCAGGCGCGCAATTTACTAGGGTTACCGAATTTGTTTACACAAACTACATTTGTTAACATGCACGATTGGCCTGGACATCTACCTCGTCGGCGGTTGTGTATTTATCATACAAATTCAGATAGGACTCTAATTGAAATTGAATAACTAATGGCGTTTTATTTTTATTTTTTCAAAAAAATGTGGCCTAAAAAAACTTTTCGTACAAGAACATAGAATATAAGGGAGCCTTAAACATAGCCAGCATCATTATTTTCTATGATCTTTGGTTATGTTTTATTCTGTCAAGTCGGTACTCTCGCTATATTGGAGTCTATCATTCTTCTCTAAATTTTAAAAAGGGAGGTTATCAATTCGTTAAAATATTTTTTTATGTATATTGCCGCATAATTTTGGATCACCTTAACCAATTTCTATGAATATTTTTTTTTTAAGAAAAGGTGGTACCTCAAAGGTGTTCCCATACTAAGGGCCGTTTTCTGAAGTAACCTTTAACTTTAAAGCTCACTTTATATATAAGGGTTGGATTAAAAGTAAAGCTATGTCTAAAGTTAAGCATTTCTATTATCGGTTTATGTCGTATGTATGTTTCTTGGTTGTAAACCAATTTAAAACGGATGATAAAATGCTTGACATTAGACACAATCATACATTTTAATGCAACCTTTAAATATAAAGTGAGCTTTAAAGTTACAGGCTACTTGAGAAAACGGCCCTTATTTGTTTTAGGTCCGATCATTGGATCATTAAGAAATTAACGGTTATCTTAAATTTTTATACTACAATTGAAGTCGGTTTTGTTTTTTGCTTAAAAATCTCTTGTATAGTTATTTGTTAAGTTGTGCAAATTTTAAGTAGCTTGGACCTACCGTAGAATTTTTGGTAAGTTTTTTTTTTGTTTTTTTTTTGTAGAAGATGTTGTATGTTGTGATGTATAAGGTAGTCCAAAAAATTCCACAAAATAGCAAATCTATTTTCTACAAACTTTTGAATGGATTTCTAACTAAACTTACCTAGTATTCTTACCATACAATTATCGCTTTGTTGGCTCATCTGGTAATGTAGTTTTTTAACTCATTTCGACTGGCAACATTTGCCTGCGTAAATATTATATGTGACATTAATGGTATCTTTTTATTTGACATTAAAGCGTGTAAAATAACAACTGTTGTACCTAAAGAACCTTAAGCATTTCTTCAGGAATATAGCCATATAATTTAATTTTTTATTTTAAAGTGATTGAGGAGCATGAACGTGGAAAGTGACTTATTTAAAAACTACTTTTGGTAAATCAAGAAAACATGTGACCGCTTTAAATCCTTAAGAAAAGATATCGAAAAGTTGGTGAAAAGAACTTTTTGTCCCAGGTTTTATCTCAGCGGAAAAATGGCCCCAATTTTCTTTATACTTAAACCCATCGGATTAGAGTTTGGGGCTGTATGCCAAGCAAACTAGGTAACATATAAATAACAGGCCGTTAGGTAACAAAACAACTTATGACGAAAAGTGGTAGATAACGGGAAAGGGGGGTGGCACCGCCCATACAAACTGAAATTCTCATATCGCTTTTCTCTGGAACCACTTATGCTACCGTCCTGAAATTTGACACAGCAACATATCGATGGCTGAGTGGAAGATCGACCTATCTCGGCAGCCAGTTCGAAAACGCTCTATCTCAAAAAACTTTTCAAGAACGCCCTATTTCAGAATTCGTTTCAAAAACGCCCTATCTCAGCTGCCGATTCAAAAACGCACTATATCTGCATATTTTCAATACATTTTGAAGTGAGTTAGGGCGTTTTTGAACCAAATTTTGAGATAGGGTGTTTTTCAATTAAATTCTGAAATAGGGCGTTCTTGAAAAGTTTTTTGAGATAGAGCGTTTTCGAACTGGCTGCCGAGATAGGTCGATCTTCCTCTCAGCCATCGATATGTTGTCAATACCGTACTTACGGCGAAAATGGTAGATTTTGGAAAAGGGGGCGTGGCACCGCCCACACAAATTCTCATCTCGCTTTTCTCTGGAATCACTTAAGAATTATTTATCGCTTAATTGTCAGGGAACAATAGCCAACTTGGTTCATCGCCGTCAAGCTTTCTAAATTAGAATTAGGGATGGCAATGGCAAAATACATCGATGCATTGATTTGCATGGGATTTTTCAGATAATGTTTCACAACAAAATATGGTTTATCAAAACTGTACAAAATTTTAAATAAATTACTGCAACTGAGTTAATTATTTTTCTAACGCAACTTTTTGGAGTCATTTCAATTTTTTGGTAAAAGTAACTTCTCTTTTTATGTATAATTAAAAAACTGGAATGACGGTTCAATGTACTAGATAAAGATGTCAAATTTTTATAAAACATCGATGCATCAATATATCAACTATTTATACATCGAGTGGAAAATTTTCGATGCATCGAAGCAAAACATCGATATTTTTCCCACATCCCTAACTAGAATTAATACGTTCCATATCAGTAAAGTTGAGATCGAAACGTTAACTCAATATTATGGCATGCATATGACCAGACTCAACCACAATTGCTGTTAATAATGGCATGCATACATTCTTAGATACATACATNGTAGTTAGGTATAACGGTATTACTCATCCCTCGGCAGAAATTAAGTGCATACATACATATATGAATACACCCATTTTACGCGTAGTATGCAACTTGGCACTATTGAGTTACTATTTACGTAGCAAAGTATTTACGTTTTTGTGTCAAAAGCAAAGTAATCGATAATTGTGGTATGTTGCGAGTAGCAAATAAAACAGAAATGTCTTTAAAACACACATACGTATGTACCTATGTACCTACACACTCTCTCTGATGCACTTTGTGGCCTGCGGCAAGGAGCTAAGAATTTCGAGGGGAGCCACATGCACATTTCAAGGGAAATGCGCTGAAAATACCTTTGAGAATTCAAGCGGATTTGCTGATTAGAGGTTGTAATGAAGCCAATTCAAAGCATTGAAGTATAAAAATGAGCACTTCAGAAAGCTTGCGAACGCATTGTCTAGTTCACATCTTAAAGTAAATCAGGTACGAGCATTTTTTGCTTGAATTTAAGGTGGCAAATCGCACGCTTGCTATTTGTATGAATTATCATGATTTTTGTCAAATCGCGTTTGTGCAGACCAAAATATTTCCAAGCAAGGTTGACCTCAAGGGAATAATGGGAGGAGGATTAGGTCCTGATCTCGTATTCTGACTCAACAGCCATCTACACTGATGGCTCCAAGTTGGGTCTGAAGGTTTCCTACCTTTCCCGGGATATACTCGCAAGAACTCTCATTTAGCCTTAGTTTTCGTCCGCCAGATCTATGTAGCATTTTCCAGCCTGAAATAACAGCAATAAATGAAGCTGCTAGTTCGCTGATCGATTCTCTAATTAATCTGAAGGCGGTAACTCTATCTTTTCTGACAACCATGCGAATGTAGACGTTCTCTTAATGAACTGGCAAGATGTTACGTCACTAATGTTGTATGGCTGCCGGGCCACAAAGACATACCGGGAAACTGTACTGCAGATGAACTAGTAAAAGAAGGAACCTTGTTGTCTGCAATTACTACAGCCCTTAATGCGGGCCTTCCGCTATCTTCTCTGGCAAGCTCTGGCTGGAGAATAACTTTGTCGGACGGGCTAATATAAGATGGTTTGCGGAGCCTATTTGTATGATAGCAAGACATATCTGGCCTAAGCTAGATAAGCGTAGATCTCGCCGCGATGAGGAGGAAATCGAAAGCGTGGAGCACTACTTATGCCACACTGTCCTGCTCTGGCTAGAGCTCGTCGATGCTCGTACCTTCATTATTCTTTTGAATGTCTGGCCGAACATGATTCAGCCAGTGTCTATGACTTTGTGCGCTTCATCAGAGCTACGAAGTGGTTCCATTTCAAGGGTAAGTGGAGGGACATATGGAGTCTCTAATACAACATCACAACGGGCCTATGGTGGCCTAAGAGTGCCCTTTTCCTGAGAGATAAGAGCAACCGAGATAACCTAATCTAACCTAACCTAAGGGGAAATTGAGAGTGCAAAAAAGTGACAGTTCTCTTGAAGGGGAGATGGAAGTTCTTGCAGGAATGTGGCACATGGTTGCATTTTTGTCGACAATAAATAACATAAATAGGCTTATTAAGAAAGTAAGTAAATATTTGTTTATTAAATCAATTTAGTTAATTTCAATGATTTTAAATGTATTCGACCGAAAAAAAACTGTATTCGTAGTCGGATTGCAGTTTTTTTTTTAAATTATACATACATATTTTTATTAAGAGCGAAATACACCACACAAGCGGTTTGACAAACCAAGCGAAATTTCCCTTTGCTTCAAGCCATTTGTGCTGTGTATGGGGG